AGCCCCAAAAATAAAGAATGCAGGAAGAAGAAAGGAAGAATGGAAGGCTTATCAGAATAAAAGCACTAGTAAAGTAGACACAGTGGAAAGTCAAAGAGACACCATGAAAATATCCCACATGGTCATGGTCAGGCTTGATAAGCACAATTAAAATCTGGAAAGAAATACTTATATAACAGAGTTCATATGTAAAATGAGGAAATGCAAAAGGCAAGACATGGTGACTGGAGTAGATATTTGGGTCATAAATGTTGAGAACATACAGGAACTTAGAAATCAGAGATTGAAAGAGTAATTTACATGAGTAACGAATGTGTCATCTAGGAGAAAGGAGACTGTTTCTTGCTCTCAGCAAGACAGGAGGAAACTGAGAAGATAAGGTCTTTGCTAAAGAGAACAATGAAGAAAGCATTATTACCAAAGGAAAGTTGAGTTGTAGAAAGGTGAGATGGTAAGAAGGAAAAATTTTAAGACTAGAATAGGTATTGTGTAATTAACTTATTTCCTTATCTGTCTATTTTGTGCTGTTATAAAAGAACACCTGAGATTGGACAACTTATAGTGAACAGAAACATTAGCTCACAGTTTTGAAGAGTGGGAAGTCCACAATCCAGCTACTAGTGCCTGGGAAGGGGTATCTTGGTAAGTCTCTGAATGGCAGAGATGGAAAAGCAAAGAACACAAGAGAGCAACCCACTCCCAGGAGCCCTTTTTATAATGGCACTATGACACTATGTACTCAAATACTTCCCATTCGCCCCCACCTCTCAACGCCATTGCACGAGAGATTAAGTTTCCAACACGTGAATTCTGGTGTATGCATCCATACACTAACAATTCCCAATAAGAAATTTCTATTTCCATGGGAGGGGAGAGGGGGAATGAAGGAGATGAAGATGAGGGAATATGGTTGATGGGCTTTATATACTTACGTGAAATAGAACCTCTTGCAATTGCTTGAAGTGGGGCAGAGAGGGGACGGTGGGAAGATGGACAGTGGGAGCCATCTAACCGACGTACAATATAAGCCTATTTGGAATTGTCACAATGAATCCCCCCGTAGAACAAATATATCCTAATAAAAAATTTTAAAACATAAAACAAAAGAAATTTCTATTGCCAAAGTCAACAAAGACTTCTGAACTACAAATCCAATATACACATGGACTTCACATTATTTGATCTCTTTTGACACAACTGATTGCTGCCTCCTTCTTTAAACATTTTTCCTTTCTGCTCCTAAGATCTCACCTTTTCATGATTGTATGGCAGCTTCTTCTCTGATTTTATCATTTCTACTCAGTCTTCTACTCTCGATATTCTTGCCTCAGTAGCTACCTCTCTCTACAGTGATTCTATCCAATCACAAATTTCATACCATTATATAGGCTGGTGATTTCCAAATATAATCTGCAGCCATAACCACTTTCTGAGCTTCTGACTGCTTCTCTGTTCAACTGCCTCCTCAAATACCCACTTGAATGTCTAATGGTCATCTAAAAATCAAAACAGGAGCTGAGGATAGGGCTCAGGGTTAAGGTGTTTGCTTAGCATGTATAAGGCACTGGATTTGACCCCCAGCATTGCAAAAACAAAAAACAAAGCACTTGAAAGAATATTCTTGACTCCTAGTCCCAACATCAGGAGGTGACTGGCACCATTCACCCAAGGACTCTCAGAATCATCTTTGATTTCTCTCTATACCTCACTCCACCACCCTAACTAATTTCCAAGCCAACAATGTGATGGATTGGCTCTACTCCCACTACCTATGTTCATCTATTCCCTTCTTTTCATTGCTGCTGCTTTTGCCCCCGCCCAGGACACCATCAGCTCTCATCTATTGCAATAGCATCTTAGGTTGAGTTTCCCAGAAGCAGAACCTGAGATGAGGAGATTTACAATGAAGTATAACTAGGAACAGCTGATATGGGAGATAAGGGAGGGGGAAATGTGACCGGGATCTCAAAGAGACCAAGCCTCTCTCCTAGCTTCTGGTGATTTGCTGGCAATCTTTTCGGTTCCTTGGTTTGTAAAAGCATCATACCAATCTCTGGCTTTATCTTTAAAGGGTGTTTCCCTGTGTGCATTTCTATGTCTAGGTCCAAATTTCTCCTTTTTTGTAAGGACATGGTCAAATGGGGTTAAGGCCCTGTAGGGAATTCAAGAGATTTGGAGACCAGTCAAAGACAAAGACATGACCATGGAAGATGCAATAACACAATAAGCATTGTTGGTTGATACTTGGACAGGTTTGCATGATGGAAATGTTCTTCATGGTAGGCAACTGCTCAGAGGTTTACAGTAGAGAGAAGGACACCATCTAGAAGGGAAAGAAAGCAAAGGAAATGCCAGGAGATGGGGTCAGAGAAGCAGCTTATGTGTATAGGACGTGGGGAGTCTCTAAGTCAGACAGCTCTAGAGGCTCTTAGCAGCTCAAGCCCATAACTATCTTGTCAGTGGCCAGCAGATGCTGGGTGAAATTTTTCAAGTTCTAAATAGCTAAAACTGCTTGTTTGTGAACTTCTTCAAATAAGTTATCTGTGTAAAAATTTGAATTTGGGCAGGTTTCAAATTTTTTTTTTGAATTTGAAGGCAGTTCTCTGCCTTCAATGAAGAAATAACCGAGAAGTCAATACACAGAGACTATTTGGAGCTTGCCTTTTAATCAGGCCCACCTTAGTGACCCCATTTTTAACTTAATCATCTGTAAAGAATGTATTTCCAAAAAAGGTGCATTCACAGGTGTGAGGGTTGCATTCTCAACATCTTTTGGGAGGGCCACAACTCAACCATAACACTCCCCAAAATGTGTTCCCTTCCAAGTAGTAGGAATGAGCTTTCTTAAAGGGTAGGTCAGATCAGTCCCTTCTCCACTTAAAACTCTCCCATGACTTCTAATTGTTCATTGTAGACCAGAACTGTACAATCTGGCCCTTGCCTTTCTCTGTCACCTCACCTCCTGGAACATCTCTCTGGGCTCACTTCCATTTTGTTTCCTCCTTTAATTATGCCAAGCTCCTTACTTATGGACTTTGCACTTACTGATCCCTTTGCCTGGATCATTCTTCCCTCTAAATCTTCCTATAGCTGTCTTTATCTCAACTTCCGAGATCCAGTTCACAATCTTGCTAAGGCCCTCCTTAAAAATCCATCAGTCATTCTGTTCTAGGCATTCTCTATCACATAGGTAGGCTTTTTTTTTTTTTTGAAGCATTTATCAGTCCCTGAATAATCTTGTCTACCTTTTTTTTTAATTATTCATTTATTCACATAAATAAATGAATTCATTTATTAACTTTCTTATTGTCAGCTCTCTCCACACTAGAATGTAATTCCCAGAAGACAATAAATCTCGGTTATCTTTCTAACTCCAACACCCCCAGAACCTAGAACAATCGTTGGTGTATAATAGATTCTCTGTAGGGAGATACGGGCTCAATAGGTGGAGGGTAAAACAGGAAGACTTGTGTCTAGGGGTAGGATATAAAAATAATGGTGATGAAACTTATGGTCCAGAAGTAGCCTGAAACTTTGTGTTCATGGCCAGAAGAAAGTTTACTGGTGGAAAAGAAAGATTTCATTAACCTTAACAGTACAAATGGGACACTTGATCTGGCAGTATATAAGTGGGAAAATGTATCTACCGAGCAGAAAGTAATAGGATAAAATGATAAATGTCACCACTTTCTGATTATAGTCATAGCAAAAGTGAATCTAATCAGTGTTACGAGAATAAGGTGGTCCTTTCCCAAAAGCATAGGTCAGTGGCATCAGTCAGGAATGGTGTTTCCTCAAACTTGTGTTTTGTCCTTAGACTTTTGTATCCATCTAGGAAATGAATTGAGAACGATTTCATTTTGTAAAATTCCTGAAACCTTTCAACCCACCATATATGTCATGTTGGTTGATAATTTCCTTGTGTTCCTCCTTACTAAATAGTTGTAAATCCTCCTTCAAAAAGATGGGTCCCTGTTTCAGACATAGTTTAAAAAAAAAAAAACAGAGAAATCTCAAGATAATGTTTTACTCCTGATAGAGCTGTGGATCGAGCTTCAGATCAAGTAGGTAGAAAATAAGACGCTGAACTCTTGTTCGGCCCATGAAAGGGGAAAAAAAACCCGTGTGGAGGTTGGTTAGGACTGAGAACCCCCATGCTGTGCAGGTCCCTTATACATAGGGAGTGTCCACTTTTGTTATCTGAGAATTTCTCCTAACTCTTAGTGATGGTCTCTGGCTTCTTAGGTGAGTAAGGAGTGTGTTGCCATAGACTTTAAGAAGGATGGACTGTCAAAGCATTGAGGACTTTACAGCTACTACTGTTTTCTTTTTTTCAGTACTGGGGATTGAACCCAGGGCTTTGCACATGCTGGCACTCTGTGTTCTTGAACCATGCCCCAGCCATTTTGGTTTTGTATTTTGTTTCTGAGACAGGGTATCACTAACACAAACTTGACATCCTTTTGTCTCAGCCTCTCAAGTGGCGGGATTATGGGAGTATGTCACTACTGCTGCTACTTTTTTTCTTGTAAGAATAATTTTGTCCTTAAGAGACTCCATGGATTAAGAACAATAATCTGTCATTAAATAAAGGAAAAATTCATTCAAATCAAAATGAAAGCCAGGGAAGATAATGACAGTTACGTGTCACATATATTGGACAAATGAAAGAATTCCTGGATAGTCCTAAAAGTGGAGAATACATTATGTATAATATTATAGTATAATAATATGCAATATAACAATCTTAATATTGTTACATGACATAACAAAATTATGTCTAGAAGATATTATAATATATAACATTATAGTTATGTTATTATACATCTATATAAATAGTTATATAATATTTATTATGTAATTACAAAAGTATATAAATAAGTAAACTTGAATTGCTTTCCACAGTCAAGGTATATTGGTATATTGACAACTTGAATTCCATAATTTTAATTCCATACATAAATAAAATGAATTACACTTTGTTTTGTTGTTTTTTACAGCCTGGAGATGAAATATATCCTAAAGATGAAAACGGCAAGTGGTTATATCATGAATCGAATCTGTGTGCCACTTGGGAAGTAAGTTCAAGTGGGTTTATTATCTTAAAAGGCAGCATTTTTATAACATAGGTAGCTCATGACTGTAATCCCAGCTACCCAGAAGGTGGAAATCAGGAGGATCACAATTTAAGTCCAGCTCAAGCAAAAGGTTAACAAGACCCCATCTCAATAAATAAGCCAGGCATGGCAGTGCACACTTGTCATCCCAGCTAAAGAGGATAGAGGTCCAAGGCTGACACTGGGCAAAGGCATGAAAAATAACCTAAAGCAGAAAGGACTGGGGGTGTGGCCCAAGGGGTAAAGTACCTGCCTACCAAGTGGTGGACTATGGGTTAAAATTCAGTACTGCTGAGAAAAAAAAAGGTGACATTTTAAGCTGTGATTGATGGTTCCTGTCAGATTTGTGGAGAACTGAGCCTTTACTCCCAGTGGAAAGAAACCATCAGAGCGGGGCACTTCTACCTTATGTACAGATATATAAAATCTTCAATTCTGGCTGCTGAATAATTTGTAGTTTTGTTTTTTTGAAGAGCGCAATTCCAAGGAAAAGGAAGAAAGAAGTATGGCAGAAAAAAGGAAATATGTTCTAACATAATTGTAATTAAAAATATATAAATCAGATAAATTCACAAATTTAAACATTAAATTTTAAAAATCATTAATATGTCTAAAAGAAACAAACTCATACATGAAAAATAATACTGATCCCATTTCTGGACAAGCTTTCTGCTCCTTCCCCAAGTGTTTTTTTGGGGTGGCTTTAGAGCTAGTCTGTTTATGAGGTGGTGTAAAAGCTTTGACATCTACTAGAAGGCAGTCTAACAAGCAGAAAGAAGGTCGTACAACAGGACAGGGCTCTCGGGGTTCTCTTTTGTACTTTCTTCTCTCCTGCCAAAGCCTGGAGGAGACAAACATTGCCTGCTCTCACATGCAGAATCTTAGGACTGGTTTTTAGGTGTCTTTAGAAATTAAATCAGGTTGGGTGCTGGTTGCTCACACCTGTAATCCTAGCTACTCAGAAGGTAGAGATTAGTAGGATTGCGGTTTGAAGCCAGCCCAGGCAAATAGTTTGTGAGACCCTATCTTGAAAATACCCAACACAAAACAGGCTGGTGGCGTGGCTCGAGTGGTAGAGCACCCGCCTACCAAGCATGAGGCCCTGAGTTCAAATCCTCCAAAAGGAAAGAAATTAAATCAGAGCAGCATTGGCATTATAAACGTGTGAGAAGCTAAGGAGAACATGTCCACCACTGCTATTTCAACCTGGAAAGGCTAGAAAATTTTATTCTGACGAGTGTAGCTTTCTGTGCACTTCCTCCTGGAGGTACCAGCCAAAGATCTGAACTGCAGGGCTATTTGGAGGGTTTTCTGGTGCTTAAGGCTCTCCACTAAAGAGGCCACACACTCAACTCCTTGCTCATTGTTGCTGATCAGGTTTGGGGTCTGGCTTGCCCCTGTCAGATACCTAGCCATGAAAAGTTGCTCTAGTTATATTAGTGTCAGATAATATGGACTTAAAATTCAAAAGCACTGTTGGGGCTAGAAAGTGTTGTACATAAAAATAAAAGATACTTAGCCCTTGTGTGTGCTTTTTTTAACTTGTGGGCAAAGATAGGTGCAAAAAATAAATGCTCTTTTGCAAACTCAGAACTTCTTGTACAGTGTAAGTTTTGATACGTATAAGAAGGACTATGGTGAAAATTTAAAAAAATAGTACAATTTACCAAGAAGATAAACAATTTTAAATACATATAGACCAAACAAAATATCTTCAAAATACATAAAGCAAAAAATTCTATCAAATTTTCTGTTAATATAGACATTAACATATCTGTTATACTATGAGGTTGCTTATATAGTCCTTTAAATTATTAGAAGCTAAGGTAGACCCAATTACATACATAGAATTACATAATTATATATATATTATATATAAATGTACATATGTATATGTATATTTGTGTGTATATCCATGAGACATTTTTGCATTCAAAAATAAGAAAATACACCTGGAAGTGAGGGGAGTGGGGGGGATAAATAGTCCAAACAATATATGCACATATGAATAAATGAATAAAGAAAAAAAAGAAATGAGAAAAAAAATAAGAAAATACATATTTGGTACACATACAAGAACATTTATAAAAATGAATCAGTAAAGAAACTCTCAGTAAATTTCAAGAAATGGATCATTATTGGCACTGGTATAGATTGTGAAGAGACAGGGGAGAGGATAATGGTACACAATGTTTTCTGAACTCATTCAGTCTTAGAGTTCTGCCCCCACCTACGTTTTCCTTCACAGGGTGCTTATTAACTCAGACTTTCCTTTACAAAGAATTCACAGTCAGCCTTACAAACTCCATTCTTGCTTCTCATGAACCTCCTTTCTTGACCTGCTGGCATTTACCCGACAGGCCTTGGAAGCTTGCAAAGATGCAGGCTTGGTGAAGTCCCTCGGGGTCTCCAATTTTAACCGCAGGCAGCTGGAACTCATTCTGAACAAACCTGGACTCAAACACAAGCCAGTCAGCAACCAGGTACTGCGGAGCTTCCTCTGGGAGGGAGGGGACCCAATACAGTATTGAACTGACAAAAAGAAGCCTACTGGAGGAAGTCCTCCACAGAAATTTTATAAGACCCTGGACCAATCTTTTAACTTCTCTCAACTTGTCTCTTCAAAAACAAACATTTGAAAAAAAGATTTGAAAGTTCAAATTCAGGCAAATAAAAAGTTATCTGAAGAAGAAAATTAATGAGGGAAAATAAGGCCTGTCAGATATTGAGATACAGCATAGAGTATCTAAAATAATTAAGACTCAGGAGGCTGAGGTGGGAGGAGCGCTTAAGTCTAGAAGTTCAAGACCAGCCTGGTTGATATTATGAGACCCTGTTTCAAAAAAAAAAAAACAAAAAACAAAAAAAAAGTAAGGGTAGTGTAAGAACTAATATACAAATTAATGAAAGATAAATACTTGGAAACAGGCAAAAGTATAATAAAAAATGTAAGGCAAAGTAACAAACTAATAGCAAAGGATGAATTTTCTGTCAATAGTGTAAGAAAAAGAAAGAGACAAGCACAGAGTTTTGCCTCATATCATATTCTAACTTACATCCTTTTTGATGAAGAGTTAATGAAAAAAGAAGTCATTCATAAATGTAACAAAGAATTTTAGTTTCTGGCCATGAAAAATCATAAAGAAAACTCTTATAAATTTAATAATATAAAAATGCTAAGCTGTAAAACTGCTAAAAACAGGGCTACAGATACAGCTCAGTATTAGGGTGCTTGTCCAGCATTCATAAGACTCTGGTTTTGACCCCTAGCTCTGTGGAAAAAAATACTGGACACAATTAAAGAGCAAACAAAAATAGATAACTATATTTTTAATGTAATAGAAAAGTGGGTTCATATCTTTATGAATTAAAAACCTAATAAATTAATTAAAATCATTGAGAAGCCAGGCATAGTGGTACACACCTATAATTCCAGCACTTAGGAGGCTGAGACAGGAGGATTAAGAGTTCAAGGTCAGCCTGAACTACACAGAGAGACCCTATCTCAAAACAAACAAAAATCATTGAGAAAAATAATAAGGCTCAAAAGAAAAATGAGCAAAAGAAATGGACAGAAATCCACAGAAGATTAATTGTAAGATTAGTGAACATATGAAAAATATTCAACTCACTACTAGAAAAACTTAAATGTGATTTTGTGTTGAATATCACATTAGCAAAGCTTTTGTTTTATACTTTATCACTGTGCTTCATGTAAGGCAGTGATGAAGTGCAAACTGGTTCAGCCTTACTGGAAAGCAGTTTGACAACATGTACTAAGAACATTAAAAAGTGTTCACAGGCTTCTATGCCTATAAATCTCTCCTAACGAAAACATATATAACGCCAAGTAGACTTATGTGTGTGTTTATCACAGCATTACTGATAAGAAAAAATGCAAACAACATAATATGAAGAATTACAGGAAATTCTAAGAGATTCATATTATGTGAAACCTTAACAAAAGATTCTCTGGAATTGTTTTTGAGAAAAAGAGAAATGCACATGACATTAAGGACAAATACCAGGATAAGGAATGCAAAATACTGTATGGAGGTGATTATACCGTTAAAATAGACTGTTGCTGAAGGATTTCTTTATGTATAATTGCATTTGGCTACAAGGCCTTATTTTTGTGCCTTTCTTTCCCATGCAACCACACAGGTTGAGTGCCACCCATATTTTACCCAGCCAAAACTCTTAAAATTTTGCCAACAACATGATATTGTCATTATTGCATATAGCCCTTTGGGGACCTGTAGGAATCCATCATGGTAAGTAATGCATGTCTTTTCAAGAAGTTTCTCCTTTAAGTCTTTGTTCCCATTCCCTACATAAGCAACAGGAAATTTTCCTCTCTTTTTCTCCCCCTCCTTCGCTTTGTCTGTACTTTATCCTGTTATACTAAAATAAACCCTTAGGAAAAAAGTCTCTCCTGCGTAGGATAGGAAGCCAATGTGAATTACTTCATTGGAATGACTATTTGGCCGTGCAATCTTAAGACAGTGACAATCCTTTCAAGTCTTTATCCATGTAACCAAATTACAGCTTGTAATTCCTTCCACACTGAGGTGTTTCTGTGTTGGTTTCATTAAAACTGTGAAATGATCCATCAGTACTTGATATAGAAGAAATGCTCAATAAATGTTAGTTATTATTTGACAAGAGTTTCTATGGCCATGTTCCAAAATTTTTGAATTTTTTCATCTCTGTATTGAGTGGCAACAATTTTGTGACAGGTTCCACAGACTTAACCAGAAATTTGGCACCTTTATTTCTTCTCTTCTAGTCTTCTTGCCCTGACCCAGCTGTCTGTTAACTCATTGAAAAACTATCATTTATCCTCCGAAAAAGTCATCTCCACAAACTTGCCTCTTCTGACTTTCATTCAAAAGAAGAATTGAATGAAGATTAACTCTTCATTAAATGAGTTCTTGGTGACCAGACGAGTGAGGAGACAGGGGAGGCTATTGACTAGAACTTGGTTCTTGTCACTCCAGCTACATATGATACCTTTTGACTTTTTTTTAAAGGGTGAATGTATATTGTCCACCTTTATTAAAGGATGCATTTCTAAACTCACTGGGGGAAAAGTACAATAAGACCCCAGCTCAAATTGTTTTGCGCTTCAACATCCAGCGAGGGGTGGTTGTCATTCCTAAAAGCTTCAACCCTGAAAGGATTAAAGAAAATTTTCAGGTAAGAAAATTGCTTTTGGAAATTTGGAAAGATGGCTATGTCTTGTTTTGCAAGTAGAGAATGTTCTTGGAAATTATGACTACTAACACCTATTAACCTCAATGTTAAATGTTCCCCCAACAAACAAGTTGTAATTGTCATTCTTAAAAAATAAAATTCAGCCACGAATGGTGGCTCAGACCTGTAATCTTAGCTATGTGGGAGACACAAATTAGGAGGATAGTGGTTGGAAGTCAGCCCAGGCAAAAAGTTAATGAGACCCTATCTGAACAAACAAGTCAGGTGTGGACCTTTAATGCCAGCTCGGAGGGAGACATAGGTAGGAGAATTGCAGTCCCAGGCTGGTCTGAAAAATAACCTAAAGCCAAAAGTGTTGGAAGTGTGACTCCAGAAGATTGATTGCGTAACAAGCAGAAGGCCCTGAGTTCAAACCCCAGTACAGACAAAAAAGTAAATAAATAGATAAAAAATAAAATCTGACTAGACTCACTTTCTTTTTTTCAGATATTTCCCCTTCTCTCTTTCCATTTGTAGCGAAATCCTTGAAAGTGAAGTCTGTCCTTGTTGTAATTCACTCCACCCACTTCTCTTAGACCAATTCAAACCAAGCTTTTATGACCAGCCCAGTGGAATGGTGAGAACTGAGTTGCCAAATCCCATAGTTAGCTCACCGTCCTTGTCCTGCTAGACCTTTCAGCCACTCTGAATACAATTATACTCGCTTCTACTCAGAACATTTGCAGGGTGATGAGTCATAAGAGGAGCTGCTGTTATATTTATGTCTATTAGTCTGCACTGTCTCATTATTTACAAAGAGCATATATGCATATACTACTTCTTAAATTTACAAGTTAAAATTTACAAATCATTAAATATATTAAGAAAAAATTTAAAGACTGGAAAGATAAAGCAATAAAGAGAGGAAAAATTATAAACAGATAGGCTAAATGTTAAAAAATAGAAGTGAAAATAAAATACGAAAATGCTACACTGGTGTGATGGCACACGCCTATAATCCCAGCTATGCAAGAGACCGAGGAAGGCAGACTGAGATCTAAGGCCATCCCCAGAAAAAGTTCGAGACCTTATCTAAAAAACAGATACCTAGCTGGGTGCTGGTGGCTCACACCTGTAATCCTAGCTACTCAGAAGGCAGAGACCAGGAGGATCGTGGTTCAAAGCCAACCTGGATAAATAGTTCATGAGACCCTATTCAGAAAATATCCAACACACAAATCAGGACTGGCAGAGTGGCTCAAGTGGTAGAGCACTTGCCTAGCAAGTGTGAAGACTTGAGATTAAACCCTAGCACTGCCAAAAAAAAAAAACTAAACCAAAAGGCCTAAGGGGTGTGACTCAAGGGTAGATGCTTACTGAGCAAGCACCAGGCACTGAATTCAATATTAAATGTTAATACAGGACAAGTGTAAAGCCAGAGTGTAAACAAAGTATAAAAGCTAAGAATGAAATTATAATGAAAAAGTAGCTAGGCATGGTGACACAGTTCTGTAATCCTAGCACTCAGGAGTCTGAGACAGGGGGATTGTGAGGCTGAAGCCAGCCTGAGCTACAGGTGTGAGTTTGAGGCTAGCCTGGGCTGTAGCAAGATCCTGTCTCAAAGAAAAACAATTTTAAGAAGTACAAGAAACATTAAAAATGATGAGAGAATCTCAAGGATATGATTAAAATTTTTTAAAGCAAATTTAGAGACTAGGAAATATTTTTAAATGTACTAAGGCAGTAGTCCAGAACCAAAATTCACTATCTTATATGGAAATAATAAGAATTCTTCCCTTTTAGAATTTTGGAAGATTTCCTGTTGAACATTTGGAATTTCTTCTAAGAGGTCTCCAAGACAAAGGGCAGAACAGAATGTCTAGCTCCACATCAGTGGGTGGCCCCCACGGCTGGCCCACCTCTTCTGTGACATCTGTAGAGATGCAACTCCTCCCAGGAATGGCTCCCACAGCTGACTCCACTCTCTGACCCAAGCTTGACCCATCTTCCACCTTCACCAATACTCATTCTATTGTCTACTTTGATCATTTCAGATCTTTGACTTTTCTCTCACTGAAGAAGAAATGAAGAACATTGAAGCCTTGAATAAAAATATCCGCTTTGTGCAAATGCTTATGTAAGTACTGTGGATCGTTAATTGGGTATGGATTATTAAGTGTCAACCAACAAGGCTCCTGTGAACTGTGACCTGTGTCCACAGAAGCACCAAGGTGAAGGATGAATGGCTTGTTCCAAATATTAGGCAAGCTGCAGTGAAATATGCCCAGCATAGGAACTTCCTGTAAACCTACACTTTTAAGAGTCTGGACGCTGGTGACATCTCATCACTTAGGTTAAGGCATGACAGGCTAAAGACCTAGAAAAGAACTAATGTACATATGTTAAAATAATAGCACAAGCGCTAAAATAATGTGTATTTCTCCCTAAAAATCAAATTGATGTGCAAATTAGAGCAAATTAATTTATTTAAATTTGGAGGAGAGAGGCACAATAATGTAATGGAAAGAACGCCAGGCTGGACAGCAAAAACCTAGAATTTCAGACCCGTACTTTCTTGCCTATAAGACTGTAGCTTCTAAACCTGCCCAGTAAACTCGGTTGGTTAGCACGTGGTGCAAAGATTATAGCTTCTAGCTCTACCCATTAGCTAACTTTTCATGTAGAATTTCTGACACTCCATGCTGTTCCAAACTTCAGCCAATCAATTGAAGTAGCCCTTTATTCTCTAAATATTGGAAGTCCTTTAAGGTAGAAATAGTGTCGTTTAGATACACCTGTACAAATATCTGTTTGTATACCCACACATACACTTTTGTTCTCCTTAGTTGTTCTCCACTGATTTTTCCTTTTCATCAAATCACCTTTTTTCTTTGTGCAGTCTTCTCTTCCAAAAGTGCTTAGTGCTTAGAACATGGAGTTTTAACTTACGGATCTCACTACTTTTCATGAGACAGAAAGTATTCTGACTGGACTGATACTGAATTCATGAATCACTGTAATAAAACAGCTTCCTAACGTGAATTTCCATGGGGAAAATGATTGGATATCAAAAGGAACCAATCAGCCTTAGAAACAAAAAAGAAAACACAAATGCATAATACTTTGCCAAAACTAATAGTTTCAGGTTAATTACTATCTCCTGAATGTAAAAGATTTCTGTTTAATACATTATTAAGTTAAGAAGAAATAGTAAGATGTAATCAATCCACCACTGCACTGACTTTTTTTTTGGTGGTGACATTATTTGGTTTAACATTTGGCATATTTAACACCAATTTTAACAGTAATGAGGAAAATAAATCATTCTCCCAAAGAATAACTTGAAAATCAACAAGGTGAAATAAAGATTAGGCAACAAAACTGCATCACTGAGAGGTGCTGGGTGATTCTTTTCTGATTTTTCACCCAGTCAATTTCTAACATTGAAGGGTCTGTTTTGTTTTATATTCCAAAGTTCCTGGTACTTGCAGAGAACTGAATCTTGGGTATGTTCCATGACAGGGACAACACATCCCAGACTTTTATAGTCTTTCACCATTGTCATTTCAGAGATAGGATCATCACAAATACTAATACTTTTCAAGCAACCAAAACAGCACAATAGTAACAACGCTTCACATAGGCAGGTGACCTTTAAGGGGCTGAGCCTCCACTTTACCTCCAGAGTTTCTGTTCTGAGTGAAACGTTCACGTGGTGGGAACCAGCCTTCCCACACCCTGCACTCACACACTCACTCACGCCCAGGGCTTGAGAGGAGACAGGGAAGAAAGTGAATAGGAAGAGGGGGAGTGGCCAGTAAACTTCTCAAAGAATGCTAGGAACCTTGCCATGTTGCTTTGGAGTCAACTGTATTCCTTTTGGGGAATTGTTTTGGCAGGTGGAGTGATCACCCCGAATATCCATTTCATGATGAATACTGACTTCAGAGACTTCCTCAACAGAGTTTTCTCTCTCAGATGTGACAGGACCTTGGGCGAGGTGGTTCCCATAAATGTGGAGATGAAGGAGTTTTATTATCTGAAATCCTGATGGAAACACATCATGCTTAACTTTGTGACATTGACTTAGCTATGTTGAAGGAAAAACAATGTTTAAATCAGGTGAAATAATTCTTGGAAATTATCTGCTGATATTTTTTAGATGAATATGTTCTAGGTTCCAGGCAAAAAAACATTAAACTTTAGAAAATACTTCAAAGGCAACATATAAAGACAACGAACTCATGAATTGGTGTACTGTCATTGGCAGTCTGCATTGTACTTGTAATCTCTTTTCCCACCTTCATCAGGCAACCTCCACTGTAAGAGACGGGAAACAACCAACATACACAGATCAATCCTGTATTGTAAAATAGTATAAAAGTAATTATTTTAAGTGAATGAATTTTTAAAGAGGGTTTTAGGAAACATTGAAAGATGAGGGTGAGGGGACTCTTCAAAAATTGTTTTTCTAAGATCAAAAGACAACTTCAATGACCTGAAGAGAAACAGTTTTGAAAAATTATCACTTAAAATTTTTTTTCTATATGCATTGTTTCCAATATTAACGTTTCTAATGCAGTTCTCTGGAAAATATTTTGCTCAGAAGAAATAATAAAGTATGATGATTTGTCCCACCAAATGTATCTACTTCGAAGGTGAGGAGGGAAAGAACCATCTGCATCCAAGTAAATTAAAAGGGCTGTAGTTGAGCTCCATCTGTGCATTTGGTACTGGGAAGAGAAGAAAGAAAAGGGGTACCACAGTGAAACAGCCCTGATCCCGAGTTATCAAAACCCTTCACAATTCTTCAATGGGGCTTGTATGGAGGCAGGAATAGAAATAATACCTATCAAACCATTATTAAAAAATGGGTATTGGAAAACAGTTCTACCGTTTGTCAGGGAAAATATTTCTAAAGATCAGAGGAGGGAAAATCCTCTCTTAAGCATAACAGAGATGGAGTTAAAGAGTTAGAGACAGAAAATAGGAGAGTCAGGAGAGAACAAGTCTAACATGAACTTCTGCATGTCAGTTCTCCCTCCACACTCACCCCAGTTAACCTTTTCATGTGTTTTGGGATGAATTTTGTCCCCCCAAATTTAAATGCTGAAGGCCCACCCTCCAGTACCTCACCATGTGACCTTATTTGAAAATAGAGTCAGTGCCTATGTGATTAATTAAGATGGACGCAGACTGGAGTAGTGTGAGCCTTAATCCAATATGACTGACGTCCTCATTTACAAAAAGGGAAATTTGGACACAGGCAACACACAGGGAGAACACCATGTGAGGATAAAGGTGGAAGTCAGGGTTATGTTTCTACCGTCCAAAGAACAAATATTGCTAGGAAAAGATTGTCCCTCATTGGGCACCAACCCTCAACTCTACAAACACCCTGATCTTGGACTTCTACCTCCAGAACAGGGAGCCATAAATTTCTGTTGTTTAAGCCATCTGGTTTGTCACACTTTGTTATGGCTTCCTTATGAACATATCACCTCCTCAGTAAAGATTTCCAGCCTCCAGCTGTGCACAGCACTGAGAATGGCCTTTCTTAATCAATGCTTTGCTGAGCTAGGTATTGGTAACCAATAATCTTAACCCTCATGGGGATTTTTGCAAACGCAAAGAGATGATTGTTAGTTTAGTTATTCTGATCGATGGTCTCTGGTCAGCCATGGAGTAAAATACATCAATAGTTATGCAACCTGCTTAAGGGGAAAGGAGACTGATTGTCTACCATACTCACCGTTCATCAAAATACACTGGACAAGAACAACAAGGGTGCCCTGCCCCAGTCCAGTTTTCTGAGTAACCAATACCATTCTTGAATTGTAAAATACCGTGTTCACTGGATTCCATGCTTAACTCAGTAGATCTGGAATAGTTAAAGCCTGTACAGTCAAACCTGGCTCTCGTACATGACTTCTCAGTCCTTAGAATACCATTCCTGACAAGAATGTCATTGTTCATCTGGGGCCTTGGCCATTGTCTATTGGGCCACACCAGATAGTTTATGTTAATGACCGGATTTATGGTAAGAGAAACTTCAGCTACATTCTGGGGCTGGAGACTGAGTGACTAAGCTCAGTCATATGAGTGCTTCATGCCTATGTGACAAACTCCAGTAAAAACGCTATGCACAGGGCTGGGATGTAGCTTGGTGGTACAGTGCTTGCTTAGCATGCGTGAGGCCCTGGGTTCGATCCCAGCACCAAAAAAGAAAAGACACACACACACACAAAAAAAAAAACGCTATGCACAAATTATCACATATCCTTTCTGGGAGAATTAAACACCACCTCACAACTCCACTGGGGAAAAACAACTTGAAGTTTGTGCCTAGTCTCCCACCTGGACCCTGACCTATGCTTCTTTTACCTTGCTAGTTTTGTTTTTAATTTATTTTTATTTCATTTTTGAGGCAAGGTCTTGCTATGTATCTTAAGCTATCCTCAAACTCTCAAACCCCTGTCTTAGCCTCCAGAGTGATGGGATTATAGGTGTGCTCCACCATGACCAGCTGGCCTCAGATAACTTTAAACTGTATACTTTCACAGTAATGCACCATAGCCATGAGGGTAACAGGTTTCCTGAGTTCTGTGAGTCCTTTCAATAAGTCATCAAACCTGAGGGTGGTCTTGGAGACTCCCTATCACAAACAGTTAACAGAAACTCAAATAAAGATACAAGGGATTCTCAGAAGAAGCCTGTAGACAATCCCACCTACCATAGCACCAAAGGTGTACACTGTAATTCCTTTCATTCATTTTCAAATACTAATTTTTAGCACTTCCTAAAAATATACAAATTTTTGTGCTTTTATTGAGTTATGACAGAGGTACAACAATACCTTCGGGTAATAGGCACTTACCTACTTGACATATTTGAGGTACTCAAGTATATTGAAATCTACACAAATCACCACAGGACTCAGGGGAAAAAGTGACTAGTACACACTGAGTGATATTGGAACACACAGAGTTTTGCCCTCATATAATTTATTTATATTAAGTCACAGCATATGAAAATGAATGCACACTAATCTGAAGTGATCAGATTAATGATAGCTTTCCTATTGATACCCACCACGCCACCAACAGGCAGGTCAAGAAATGAGTATTTCCAGACCACGGGTGGTCTCCTTTGCCTCCTCTCAATCCGTGTCTTCCCTCCAGAGAAATCACCATTATGAGTTCTCTTTCTTGAGTATTAACATTCCCAGCAAAGAAGTTTCAGCTTTGTTTAGTCCTTGTGATTACAGAATTGCATATTCTGAAGGTTATTTGAAAACTACACAAGGCTCAGATTCTTTTATTTTTAGAGCTCTTTGTGTAAAAAGACTTTGTGCTTAGTCATTCTTTTATCTAAAGATTACATTTTAAATTACCTTTTTGTATATTAGAAGAAAATTCAGACTTTGTTTTGATTTTTTAATTTCTGTCTGAAAACTTATTTACTAAAAATTTAGACCCAAAACTATTTAATTACTACATTTGTTAAATTAATAAAGAGCAAGAACTATAGAAATCCAGTTCCCAAAGTACAGTTGTGTATTCTTTTAGTTGTTTAATTTAACTTTGATCATATCACTAACCTTGACTATATCTGAGGTCATTTTGAATTTTTCTTCATTTTTCTTATTTATTAGAGATTTTCTGTTTAGTATTCTCTGCTTAACATTACTCATCCCAGACTCCATGTTTAGCAATTAAAAAAAAATTAGCAATATGGAGATATAACTGACAAAATTATATATATTAAGGTATAGAACATGATGTTTTGAAGTTCCTGTACATGGCAAAATAATGAGAAAGTAATTAATATATCCATCACCTCTCAGTTACCTTTTTCTTTTCTTCTTTTCATGTGTTTGTGTGGTGAGAATAATTAAAGTTAACTATTAAGCCAATTACAAGTAAACAATATAGTATTATTGACTATAGTCACCATTTTGTACATTAAATCTCAAGAACCTATTCATCTTACAACTGCAGGGCGGTAGCCATTTAACCAACATCTTCCCTTTTCCCTCAGCCCCCAGCCCCTGGTGTCTACCTTTCTACTCTGCTTAGAAATTCTGCTTAGAGAGTGTGCTCAACTTTATTAGACTCATATAATTTGCATCACTGAGCACAGTGTCCTCAAGATTCATCCATGTTGTCACAACTGGCAGGATTTTCTTCTTGTTTAAAGGCTAAAAAATATTCCATTATAGATGTGTATAAACTATATTTCTTTGTCTATTCATCCACTAACAAACACTAAGTTTCTTTCATATTTGGTTATTATTGATAATCAGATATACCTTTGAGATTCTGACTTCAGTTCTTTTGAATGTTTATATCCAATGGTAGAATTGTTAGAATATATGGTAGTTCTAGTCTTGGTTTTTTTTTGAGGAATCTCCACATTGTTTTTCACAGTAGCCACAATATTTTACATTCTTACCAATAGTATGCGAGAGTTCCAGTTTCTCCATGTCTTCCTCCCAACTTATTATCTCTAATTTTTTTAGCAATATCCAAATGCTGTCTCATTTGGTTTTGATTTGTGTTTCCTGATAGTGATAGTGAGTATCTTTTCACACACCTGCTGATCACTTACTTATATGTTTACCTTGGAAATGATGTCTCTTCAGGTCCTTTGCCCACTTTTAATCTGGTAGTTTTTAACTATTGAGTTCCTTATGTATTTATGTTGGTGGAATCTTACCTGCTCATTTTTGCTTCTGTTGCTCGCACCTTTGGTCTAGTAGCCACAAAATTATTGCCAAGACCTATGTCATGGAGTTTTGTTTTTTTGGTGGGACTGGGATTTGAACTTAAGACTTCATGCTTGCAAAGCAGGAACTCTGCCCCTTGAGCCACTTAAGCCACATCTTCAGTCCACTTTTGCTCTGGTTATTTTTGGAGAAGAAGTCTTGTGAACTATTTACC